GAAAACAAAGATGGCGTATCGACATATCGGCCATTTTTCGGAGAAATTACTTTACAAATGTTTTTATTAATTTCTCAAATTCAACAAATTGTTGAAGGTTAGTATTTTGTGACTGGTTTATTGACTACCCAAGGATTCCAAAACCTTCATTCATTGGATTTTAGAAAATGGTTTCATATCCATTTTAAAATGTGAAATAATCATTTCACTACCCGACAAACTCCGAAATTTATTCATTCATTAGGCCTACATAATAGTTTAATATTGCTGTACTATATACTCCAACATCACTGGCGCATGGTAACAACCAACTGACTGCAGACCATTTCCGGTCACACATTACTCTCCATAACCCTCTAGTTCCGTCACCTCTGGATTGATTAGGAAGTTTGACTATACGCGCATAGGTAGGGTAGGTACTTTGGTAGTTTCCCACTGTTAATGAATACTGTCGTTTCGAACGTGGCTTGTATGGCGACGTCATGCGTGTATCTTCCACGAATCGGTAGACATGTATTGTTGAACAGTTGAAGTGATGACAAACAAAAAATCATTAGTGCGAAACCAACAAAAATAAATTAAGAATTGAGGCTAAACTCTTGACTTCAAGTTATTAAAAAATTCATAATACCTTAGCAAAATCGGAAAATTGTTTTGAACTCTATGGAAAAAGAGAGGCTATCTAAAGTGTATTTAAATTAGCCTTTTATAGTGCCATCAAGTTGTAATTTTAATTTATTAGGCACATTGTCTCTTCCAGGAAAATAAATTGTTCATGCCATTAAAATTTGAAAATTCAAAGATTACTGTAAGTAGCCTATTGACTGTAGTAAGCAGAGCAATTGATTTTTTCATTTCAATAAAGCCGTTTCAGACAGAGGTTTTGGTAATATCGCGGTAATAATACCGTTAATATAGACCTGCTTTAAATACATAACCGGTGCAATATCAATATTTCCGAGGATTTCACTTTGCTGTGTTTCGATGTAGGCATAGTCCTCACCCCAATTCTTTATCTTTATTTAGACGGGAATGTGGCCTGCTTTCGCTTCAGACACGCCGGAACGGACCATAACGGCAATTTTGCGGTAATATAATAATAATAATAATAATAAAGTAAGAACTTATATAGCGCCATTTAAAAAACCGAAGTAATTATCAGTGGCGCTTCATGTTATTGTTGGAATAAGTGCGTTTTGAGTGATTTTTCAAATAAAGGAATTGATGCTGATTTTTTAATGTGAAGTGGTAGTGCGTTCCAGAGTGTGGCTGCAGCAAATGAAAATGATCTGTGTCCGAAGGTCTTAGTGTTGGTGCGAGGGACAGAAATTAAATTGAGATCAGATGAACGTAGGGAACGGCCAGGCACATATTTGGGAAGAAGTTGATTAATGTATGCGGGTTGATTGAGAGTCAGTGACTTATAAGTCAGTAAAAGGATTTTATATTGAATTCTGGCATCAATTTGTAACCAATGCAGTTCATGTAAAATGGGGGTTAGGCCTATATGAGTGCGTCTGTTAGTAAATGTTAGTATGCGTGCAGCAGAGTTTTGTAGTCGTTGAAGCCTGTTAATTTGGATTTTAGGAATATTAAATAAAAGAGAGTTGCAATAGTCAAGTCGGGAGAAAATGAAAGCGTGAATAATCAGAGCCGTAGTTCGTTTTGATAAGTATTTTCTGATAAGTGCTATATTACGTAGATGAAAGTTAACAGATTTTATGAGTTTACCAATGTGATTTTGCATCAAATGTGACGCCAAGGTTGGAAATGGTAGAGGAAGTTTTAATGATAGATGAGCCAATAGGGAGTGAGTTGATGTTAATTATTGAGCTAGATTTATTAGTGCCGAAGATGATGAATTCAGTTTTATTTTCGTTTAGCATAAGCATGTTATTGGACAGCCAACTGTGGATGTCGTGGAGGCAGGTTTCGAGACGTGTTTGAATGAAATCAGAGTCAGAGGGATCAAAATCAATATAAATTTGGATATCATCAGCATAAATATGATAATAAAGGTTATGGGACTTGATAATTTCGGATAGAGGGGATATGTAAAGGGAAAAAAGAAGGGGGCCAAGAATTGAGCCTTGTGGAACTCCATATTCAATAATTTGGGGATCAGATCTAATTTTGTTTATTTCTACAGATTGAGTTCGGTTAATTAGATATGATGCAAACCAGTTTAGAGCCGTACCAGAAATGAAGAACTGTGAGGATAATCTATGAAGTAGGATATTGTGATCAACAGTGTCGAAAGCCGCCGAAAGATCCAAGAGTATAAGGGCAACGACCCGTTTCTTATCTAGAGCAACAGTAATGTCATTGTGTATTTTAGCAAGGGCAGTTTCAGTACTATGACCAGTCATATGCCGATTGAAAGGGGTCAAACAAATTAAATTGAGTAAGATATGAAATTAACTGTAAGGAAACAACTTTTTCAATAAGTTTGGCGAGATAAGGAAGATTAGAAATTGGCCTAAAATGCTGGAATTGTTGGGGATCAAGAGACGGTTTCTTCAAAATAGGGGTGACTACAGCACTTTTAAGATTATCCGGAAAAGAGCCGGTTTCAAGAGATTTATTGATTAAAGAAGCAATGGCTGGAGCAATACTGGCTCTGCAAGATTTAAGAAGTTTGGTAGGGATAGGATCTAATGAACAAGTAGCCGATGACGAGGACAAAATTAACTTCTCAATGGCATTATGGTCAACAGTGTCAAATGAAGAAAAAATGTAAGCATTGTTAGTGTGCAGTGACTCCAGTGGCGAAGTTACAATTGAAACATTAGATGGATGAGACAATGGAGAAAGCTGCAATTGTGATAAACGAAGACGAATATTCATGATTTTATCATGAAAGAATTTTGAAAATTGTTCCGCAAGCTGAGAGAGGTTTTCATGAGAGGGAAAACAAATTTTAGGGATGCCCTTTATTAGTTTGTTTACAAAATTAAACAACTTTTTCTGATTTCCCGAACAATCATTAATCTTACTTGTGATGTAACTGTTTTTTGTGTCTTTTAGTTTTTTGTTAAATACCTTAAGTTGTGTAATATATAATACTTTATCAGAATCTAATTTGGTGTTTCGCCATCGACGTTCAAGCCGACGCAGAGATCTCTTACTTTCTCTGAGGTGATTGGAGTATCATGGTTTATTATTGTTTTTATTCCTAACAAAAATTTCCTTAATCGGGGCAAGATCATTTAGCATTGAACACAGATTAGTATGCAGTAATGACGTAAAGTCATTTACAGACAGTGACAAATTATCGTTAACTATGCTAGTACCCATAGCACTAACACAATTATTGAGCTTAACAATATCAATATTCTTAGTGCTACGACATTTAATGCGGTTATCAGGTGCTAACTTCGAAGTAGGTACTGATGCATTAACAAGAACATTAAACTCAATAACTTTATGATCACTAAACAAGAAACCAAGGTCATATTACAGTACTAGGTCTGAGATTGATTCCCCCGACGAGAAAAAAAAAGGTGGGCGTGGTTGGCTGTCGCTAAAAACCTTGCGAAAATTGTCCAGGGGACATAGCCCCTAGCCCCCCCCCCCGCCGAAAATATGACAATTATAGGGGTTTCAAAGGCTTATTTAGTTGATTTTAGAGACTATTAATATGAAAAAAATACAAATGATTTTTTTGAATTTTTTTTTCTCCCCGACAAATTGTGGTTTTTCTCCCTAACGGGGGACATGGCCTCCCCGACGGGGGGGGGGAGGGCTGTAGCCCTGCCCAGCCACCCCGTGGCGCCGCCACTGCGCCCGACCACGCCCACTTTTCTTTCGTCGGAGAGATGTCCTTCCTCGACAACGGGCCCCCCCCACCCCGAAAATCCCTTTCGAGAAAATCCTGGTGCCACCTCTGCTAAGCCATTAAACCCTACCAGATGTTTTATTCCCAAACCTTGAATGAGGCTCTTATCGACCCCTTGGTGCGGACCCCGCTGTCGGACATGTCACATGGTATCATTAATGGGATATTGCGATATAAAGTATGTTCTCAACATGTTTTGCTTTGGATTAGTTAGCCCACGCCTTGCACTTGTGTTTTCGCCGGCCGTCTCTTCTTCCACGTTATCACACCGTACAACATCTTGCATGTGTAAGGTGTTACACCTCACCAAATGTCATAAATAACTAACTGTACTCAGTTGTGTATCATCCATCGTCAGTGTAATAGAAACATATGCATAATAATTATATATCTTATATATTATATATAATATATAGG